GAGGACCCCCTAATTCACCTGCAACCCTAATTGATAATTAATCGCAGTCTAATGTCATTGAATTGAATTCAACATCCCTCTCCCCCCCCCCAAAAAAAAAGAGAAACACTTTTGCCACGCAATATGCACACTTTCTACTGCTAACACCCGTCTCTCTGTTTCACGTACACACCTTCTCCACCCTTTCTCCACCATCATCATGTTCCTGTCCCGGTCGTCAATAGTTAGAGAGCCATGGACATGCCGCGCCTCTGACTTTCCTGCAAAAAAAGCCTCGGACCTGCCCATGCAAGCCAATTTTTGGCTCTGCCTCTGGAATGACGCCATATGCAACAACATGGACAGTTGGTTGCTGGTTCATGAGTCCAGACAGGAGTCATGTGCGACAGTCTAAGCCGCCTCGAGACGCGAGACAGCAAGATGGTGTGACCACTGGGGTCACAGAAGGAATTTGAACAAGCGTCAGTGCAAGGTGGGGCCAAACCACATTTGGATTCTGACAGGATGCATGAACGCAGACTACAGTTTGCAATTGGACAGCAGAGCGAAGTTGTTCTCGCCTATACCGAACAGCTGTCATAGCCACCCTCTTAGTTTTGGAGACAGCCTCTGGCGCCAAGGAGGAGACTGACAGGACCACAGGAAGCAGATACTATAGAGCTGAAAAGGTGATGTGCTGAACCGGAGTGGTGGCAGCAGCGGCACAAGCCAACACCCGAAAGTTCGTGCTGCAAATGCCTGAGCCTGCGAATCTCCCTGGAAGTGTGAGTCTTGGCTACAAAAGCAAAAGGAAGAGGTGGTTGGCGACTGAGCTGCAACAAGACCAACTGCACAAGAAGAGTCGACGGTCATGCCACCCTGCAGTCATGCCACAAAGTGAGCAACAACTCTGAGCGGCAATAATTCGTGGCGTTTTCGAGATGAATAAAGCTGCGCAGTTGTAATTAGTAATTAGGACAAAGATGCCTGTAGCTGCATGAGTTTCCTCTGAGCCTTCTGCTCAAAAGTAGTCTGTTAGTCATGAACAAACCACACTGGCGAAGAATGCCGTTGTCAAGCCCATCTAATCGAACTGTTTGAGGTATTTGACTGTTTGGATAGATTGTTGTTGGGTGGATGCTTCACGCGGATGGGAACACGGCGTAGTGTACAAACAGGCTAGTGCCCGTCTGAGTAACGCAGAGGCCTGGGTAACTTACGGTTCTTCGGGCTAATCCTTTGCGTTTTTGACGTGCACTTGCTAGGAACAGGGCTCCCGACGATGATGTAGTCTTCCTACTTCCCTACGGTTGTCACTTGTTGTTGTCTTGTCGCTAGGAAGACTGCATTCTCCTTGGCGGCCCATCGCTTTTTCTCCGGAGTTTGAACTCTAAAGTCATCCCTGCGGTGCGACTTGTCAGCTGGGCGGGTGGGAAAAAAAACCCTAAAGTACAGTACTTGAGAAGAGATTAGGGGAAGAGTGGCCTCGGTACCTCGGATTTCAGACCGTGGCTCTGGATGTCTGGCTTCCGGTGAAATCCTGGCAGGATTTCATCGTGATCCATGGAGATGAGCTTGCAACGCTGCGGTGCCTTAGCTCCTTGAAAGGGGGCGGTCATGATGTTAGAGTCGCAAGTTGGAAAATATCCCGCAAGGAAGGAGCTAAGGCGTTTCTGCTGGCAGGCAAAGCAGCTTGGCGTGTCGGGGCAGCTCTGTGCCGAAGAGGCTTGCAACTGCATGTTTGCAAGCACAGGTGGGCCATTGGCATGTTGGACATGACCCATGCCCTCGTATTGCATGTGTCGAAGAGGTTGTGTTCGTTTTGGCGAGGCCTTGAAGCTTCTGCGGCAGTGTGCAGAGAAGCGTCTTAAGCTGCTCGGTGCTGTATGCCGAACAGCTCTGGCAGAGTAGCCGGAAATCAGGGAGACGATAACTGAGATGACGTCGTGAGGTTGGGCTTGGACGCAATCTTGGACAGACCAAGTTTTCCGGACGAGCTATGGTCATCCTTCATAGAGACTGTTCCCCAGACGTACCATGGATTGGGCCTGAGGGGGCAGCGACTTGGCAGCATTTCCCTGTCATGCCTGCAAGCCAACACTGGCTGTGTTAGGAAATGCCCGAATGATGTGTGGATGCAAGGCCGGTGGTTCTGATTCGCGCTGGTGGCACAGATCCTTCTGCAATGGGTGAGCTGTTAAATGCCGGCGCTCTGCATTCTGTAGATGATGCGTCTTGGCACCGTTACACGAAACTCCCCGAGATGATGTGCACCCCACCCAGAGACTGATGGTGCGCTACGCACTCATTGTGCTCCTTTACTGTACTGACGTGATCTACACGGTGCCATCATAGCATGTCGTAGGATCGGGTCAGCTGTCGTGGTGTACTCTTCTGAGTCTGGATGTGCATACCCCAGCCCTGTTCAAGGTGAACGCTGCGGTTCTTTGCTTCCTCCGATGTGAGGAGTGCCTTTTTCGTCACACCGTGCCACGAGCAAGTGCAGAAGTGGGGCACCTCGTGGACCGGGTCATTCTGAGCCTTGCCACGAAAGCTGTGGTGCATGCCTCGAGTTCAGTCTTGTTTTCGCAGAGATGAAACCAGTGTATTGTTGATAGTGTTGTTTTTCGGTGGAAAGGGGGGTGGTTAAATTGAAGGGTGGATTCTCTGGTTTGTGGAAGGGGGAGGGGCTAGGCCAAATTGATATATGAATAGCCGAGTTTTGTGGTAAAGCCAGTATGGCTGAGTAGCTTAGAACTCATCCGCAGCCGCCTCCTCCGCAACTGCTTGTGCAATGTGTCATGTGTCCAATGTTTGGACGTGTTCCTCTTAAGCAGATTGACAGATCACTCAATGCAACTCTCCGCCTCCTCTATCTCCACATCCTGCTACTGCTACTGCTACTGCTACTGCTACTGCTACTGCTACTGCTACTGCTAGTAGTAGTAGTAGTAGTAGTAGTAGTACTACTACTACTACTACTACTACTGAAAGTGCTACTGAAAGTGCTACTGCTACTGCTACTACCACTGCTACGGTTCTTTTTTCCGCAAAGAAAAGCCCGCTGACCTGCCACAGAGACTTCTTGCAAGCCCCCACAAGGCCCCTAGCCCTAGACAGGGGTGCGCCATCCGGCGCGGGGTGCCTAACTCGCACCTCATGCCCCGGAGAACAGAACAGAGAGAGACTTCTTCGTTGCACTGACCATATTACATTCACTTGCAAGTATCGTCATAGCAGGGAAGCCTTCACCCCCTCAGAACCCCGTAACAGATGGGGGGCCCTACGGCATGCCCCTCAAGCCCTGTGGAAGAACAGACTTCTTTGCCGTTGCCACTCGTTTTGGAAGCGCCCCTTGACGGGCTCGGTTTAGGTTTTAGGGTTTTAGGGTTTTAGGTTTAGGGTTTAGGGTTTAAGGTTTTAGGGTTTAGGGTTTATTGTTTTGGGGTTTAGGGTTTAGGGTTTGGGGTTTAGGGGATCTGAGGGCCGGTTTGGTTCGGGAGTCGAGACCAGAGCGCTGGACGCTAGCCGAATTGGGGGGGGTAGATACCCCCTTTCCCTACACTCCTACACCTGGAGCAACCAAGAGAGAGAGAGAGCCCGACCTTGTCACATAGCAGGGGCAGTTTCAAGCCGACAGTTGCGCTGGACGCAGGACGCACAGATCCACTTCGGGGGAGGGTGGGGTTGTCCCTACCTTTAACCTGCAGCAAGCAAGCAAGCCCGACCTTGGCCGCCAATCATAGACTTTTGCCAGCACACCATCAATGCTTGCCGTTGCGACGCACAAGATGTTGAATTCGGGGGTACCTTGAGGCTGTAATTCGGTCTCGTTCCTTTCAGTGACAGTCGACAGCGCTCGCTCGAAGCAGTGAGTAAAGCAAGTTTTTCCTCGAAGCCCCCATCTTTCCGAGTTCACCCTACACTGACTTGCAGGGGACCCTTTAGCATGATATATTCAATATACTCCCGCATTACACTGTGGTAATGCATATTTGTGTTCCATCAGTCACAGGGGAGCTGTTAGGCATATGTACCAGGGGAAACACACCGAACTGCAGTCCTTTGGTCTTTGGTGATGTTGGCCAGAGCCTTAATTTGCTGTTGCGTTGCAGACGGGTGTGAGGGGGAAGCGATCCTTTAGAAACAAAAATATGGGAGTTTCCGAAAATTAGGGGTACCTTATTTGGGGTACTATATTAGGGTCCCCTATTTTCGGAAACCCCCATATATCCTTGTTTGCTTTCTTCCTGATGGGGGGATCGCAGCCCGGCTGATCCTCAAGCGGAGCCTCCGAGAGAGAAGCCCTCGCGGGGAGCCTTTCCTCCAAAGAACCGCGGGCGCGCGCGCGCGCGCGTCCGCGTGCGAGGGGGAGCCTGGACCCTGCTACAGAGAGAGAGAGAGAGACGACTCCTATGCCCGGCAAAAAAGAAAAAGAGCCAGAGAGGCTTCGGTTCCCCAAACGCCTTGCAAGCAAGCTTGACACGTCGCTTCAGCCTGGGAGAAGAAATCACACTCGAAGGCGGCAAAGTCGCACATGGCACAAGTGGCAACACCCGAGGATAGTTGACCTTTGGGGAGTTGGACGTGGTCATTTTCGATTTGCGACCGAATTCCTTTCAGTGGCCGTGAAGCAGACTGTGATCCTTTATCCTGAAACCTTGGACCACGTCCTGGTGGTGAATGCAGTGGCTTGTCTGTGATTCAGTGATGTCCGTCCGGAGAAGAAATGCACTGTCGACGTTCATTGATGGGCTGTCTGACCTGCGTTTTTTGCCACACCGTTATGGGAGCTGGATTGTGTTTACAGGGTGCCAGTCGCTGTTCTTTTGTCCTAGTCCTATACCCGATAAGATACCCCCATGATCCCACATGAGCATAGGTTAAGAATGGAACTCCAAGGCCTGGTCGTTTGCTACCCTTCTGTGGCCAATTCTCAAAAGGCTGCTGCATCCGGTTTCCCAGCGCAAAGTTGTGATTGCGGATGCCAGTCGCACCCGTGGCTTGTCTCTCATAAAGTAAAGAAGTGGGCTGTCCAGAGTTCCCGAGCTGCTGAGAACATGTCGAGCATTGTTGCTTGTGTAGAAGCGACTCCACGTGATTGCAATACCCCGTGGCGCGTGCTTTTTGCCCGAAACCTGGCGAGCTTGACAACTTGAGGCGAGAAGCTTCTGGAGCACTTGGGTGTGGAATGCTTGCCGTCTCACCTTGGCGGCGAGAACCAAGGGATTCACATGGGCTGCATGCTCCGTCCACACGTACCAGAGGTTGTTGACTCTGCGACTTGCAGACAAACCAAAGACGTTTGACCAGGGCGCAGAGCTCAGAGACAGCACCACAGCGTCGCGCAAGCCAAGCTTGTGCCTTAGGGGTCTGCGCAAGGCTTCTCGTGCGGCAGTTCTATTCATTCGTCGTGGCTTGCAACGAGATGTGAACTTCAATGGAGAAGCAGATAGCACCCCTGCTTTAAGATACCACCCAAACCCAGCGCAAGCCTAGCTAAAAGCCCAGCCTACCCTATACACCAAACTTCTATCCCTGACCCCTATCCACAATCTCTAGAATCTCAACACACCGGCCTCAACAGCATTCTTATCGAAAACCTGAACCCAATCCGATAAAGCATATAAAACATTACACATTTGTATAATATCTTATCATTTTACGAGGTAATCTCGCTGTTAAACTACTTAGTTAAAAAGTTGCTGGCAGATTACTTATACGGAAATCGCCCAGCACAATACAATATTACACGGACGCATGAAAAACGGGTATCGGCATTAGGACAACCTTCAATAGAACAAGTCGAACCATCTAGCGAAAATCATTATGAATGCTATCGATTAGCTTGGAGACGTAACGAGCCCTATAATGAGCATATATTCTGAATATCTATATCGCTGACAAATATCTAGATATGGTCTCACTATCTAGGAGAGCTGAAGGGTTTAATCCTAATCCATAAAATCTTTCTATAGAAAATGGAGAATAGAAAATAAGAGAATTTCAGAATTCTTTATATCTAAAAATTTTGAGCAAAAGAAATAGATAATAATTTAATTAATATATTTGCCAAATCGAATCTAAATATCTTGGTTCTTAATCTTCTTAAATTGAGAATATAAACTTCGCATATATTATATCTCGAAATTAAATTCTAAAGAATTAAAGATTTCTAATTCAAATATTTCAATTTATTGAAATTTTTGATCGTGCTCGATTCTAAGTATTTTAATTTGAAAGATATTTAATGGAATTTCATATATTATATATATTTTTTAAACAATAAAATAAAATATTATTTGATAAAATGGCTTAGGCATAAATTTGTGCTCATAATAAATATATTTAATTATATATTATAATATTCTTCTGCTTGATTTGAAATCTTCTTTCTAATCATTTTATATTTCAAAAAGCCTAAAATAATTTTTATAATATTTTTTAGAATTTTTCATGCCGATAGGAGAATCCGAGAGGTTTGGGCATTTTCGGTAAATTCTATATTAGAAATATTTTTCTTATAAGCGTCGTATTTCTGAAAAATAAATAGCTCTCAAAGTTTCTAAACCTAGATATTTTTCTATATGAATTTTATATATCTATTTATTTATCATCTTTTTTCTATAGTTATAGTTGTCTCTATATCTATCTATCTTTATAGTGATCTGAATATAGAATATTTATTTAATTTTCTAAAAATTTATTTATATATAATTTTATTTCTTCATATATATTTTGATGTATTATATATTTTTGATTTGATTGAAAGTTCATAAATATGAGATTCTCATATATATTAATATAATAAATTATATTTTTATTATTATATTTTATTTTGGATTCTGGATTCCACATGGACGGGAATCTAAGGGCCCAAAACATTATTTTTTATCTAAATATTTCCAATTTTTTTAATTTTGCTATAATTATATATATATAATATCTATAAATTTAAATAGATATTTAGATTGAAATATTATATTGAAATTCTTAGATCGATTTATAGATCTTCTACAAATAAATTAATTATAATTCTAGCGATCTCATAGTATATTAATAATAATAACTAAATAATATTTATTCGAATTCTGAGAAAATTAGAATTCTTATAAATTTATTAATATATTTTTGCTATCCCCCCTTGGGTTATCCGCAGAATAAATCGAAGCTTGTTTCATAAGGATATATATAGAGAGCAGAATACTTTATAGAATATCTCTGATATATACCCTATAGAAGACCGAAGACCTTCTATCTTATAGAATACTTTGTACTGATCCCCCGATATAACGTATATATACATTAGATAATGCCATCTAGAATAGCCTGTTGAATACCTTATAAACTTATAAACGACCGCTTGAATATGACAACCCCTATACACCTTATATATGCCATATAGAATACCTACAGAATACCTATAGAATTCATTATAGGGCTACAGAATTCATTTTGTACAATATATTATGGAGTACCCTACAGAATACCTTATAGAATGCCCGATAGAATACCATTTGGAATACTCTGTAGTAGAATACTTTACAGAGAACCGCCAGTGTAATATACCCACTGTATCCCTCAAAGACCTGAAAGATGCCTTATA